TTGATGAGAGAATACGAAAAAAATGGCCGCAGTACGCTGCAATAGGTCGTCAGATGAAATTGATGAGGTAACAGCTTTCGACATTGAAAGTGTGGCTCCCGAACTCCCTGAAAACGCAGAAGACGAGCAAGCCGCCGACGAACCCCTTAACAAGGAATTCCTCTTTTCCGCCTCTGGATGAGGTAGGGCCGTTCGGACAAGTTTCCTGAACCTACATGCTTCACGGCTTCACTAGCCAGGTGTGCGTCATATGGCGCGATCCCATTGGCATTGGAGCGCACAGGCCGTAATTACCACGTCCTGCTGTGGCCGGACAACTCGTCCGCGCAACACATTCTGTTCCGTTCATTTTCCTTGCCTTGGCATCAGGCCAACAAGCTATCCACTCTTTTTAGATCTTTGGGACTCTTCAGCGAAATTCTTAAGGGCCCAAATTATCACATCAATCAATTGCTGAAGTCTAGCACATTTTAATGCTCGTGAGCTACTCTATCCCGTCCACAAAATAAATTGGTCCACATAACCTCACGAGGTTATTGCACTGAGCTTACAAAATCTCATGATTTTAGCAAGTGATACTAGTGAATTCCATAATTCTGAGAAGAGAAAAAGGGCAGTATAGCAGTGTTTGGACAATTAACGCCAAGCTGTTTTGTTCAAGTGTTCTGCAAAAAAAGTTTATTAGTATCAGTAATAAACTTTTTATTCACAGAGATAACGGATTAGTTCTTATCCTGACTAACTGTAACACTGTTATGCTTTATTCTTTTGTGTGTTTGCCTCTATGGGATCGTGCTCTGTGAATGTTCCTTGTCCAGTAGAACAACTTGTAATCTGAAAAATCAAATTCCATCACAAAAGCAATACAATTAGGGGCACATCAGATAACAAGTAAACATCAGGGAATTGTGATAAAAAACCATGGTGTCTCAATGGAGTTAGCCAAGGATGAGATTTAGTTCCATGTGAACATCCCGCCGTTTTTCGAAACTCAGATTGCGCTCATAATCACCTCTGAAAGAGTAATCATCAACTTACAGTATCAAGATCAATCTTTTGCGCAATTTCGTTAGACCTCTCCCACAGTAATCGTTCATCAAACTTGATTGTTAATGGTTTGAAATCGAGTTTCGGCCGATCGCTCTGTAAAACCAAACATTGTTGGCAGTATTGTTTATCAGAAAGAACTCGCGTCTGGCATTAAAGGACGAATTCACGCTGGAAAGCAACCCATTTCAAATTAACTTAGCGATGAGTGGTACACTAAAGAAGGAAAACCATGAGAAACGGCCCAGAACCCGAGAAATGGGACCCCTTCCTTGCCCGTTGATTTGAGCATTGATGCGACTATCATCGCTGTGCCCTCTTCAACACTACGCTCTCTCACCTATCTAATCACTCTCGCCACGTATAGACCTGCGGCGAGTGATCAGATGATCGGTGGGCGTGCACTGGCCCGCGCGCCAAGATTGAGCCTTAATAAGGTCGCCGACGTCAACTCCTTCGGTGCCAGTTGCGCTTCATTCCGCACCCTCAGGAGGTCCGCGGGTCCTCAAGTAGGTGAATTACTCCTTTTTCGATTTTCATTCTAATCGTGTTGATCGTCCTAAGGGCAGCGATGTACGGGAATTTTGTGTTATTTCCACTAAATGCTTCTTAGCTAATAATATGCCACGCATAGTAGCATCAGATTTCTAGGGGATAAAAAATTTGAAATTTTGGTGTTGTGGACAATTCAGCTAGGCGTGCAAGGGGGGCGTGAAACGAAATATGTACGTGTTGGGACGGCCACATAATAGGTGACGCGCAACCACGTACATATTTCGTAATTTGATCTAACCTCTAGAATTTGGAGCTTCAGTGATACAAAATCGTTTCAGCGTGATGAATCAAGAGCGCGCGAATTGTTTCCTGAATGAAGAAATCGAAATTTCGGTAGTTACGCGCTCCGAGGGGGGGAAGCCAGGGAAAAACGGAAGGCTTTCTGCTGCCAAAATTTGTGACGTTTTACCAGGCACCAATTCATCGAGCCGAGTTTATGATTATCGGAAGATTCGAAACAGATCATATTTCGTTTTCATCATCGTTATTCATAGGTCTCATGCTATGCAACATGAGGAGACAGAGCCTTCCGCTTTGTGCAGGATCCCTTCAGGCAATGCCTTCTTCTTCTCGCGTTTGTCCGTTTTGGCGGAGCGTTCGCTCGCGGTGTCAGAACTTGCGCATTCCAGTTATTGCTAGAAAGAGTCGCTGATTTCCTAGGCGATCGCTAAGTTTTGTATTAAAGGTCGCTGTTAGTGAGCCGAAGTTTGACAACGGCCTAGTTTTGTTACATAAGGATTCTTATGGCACGAGATCATAGCACTTACCGCTATCGTATAATGAGTGGTGAGCCTGTATATTTTTCCATTGATATCCGCCAACACGACCATAGGCACAACAAATCGGAATCGATGGGGTGAAACTAAAAAACGATTTCATGAATTCTGCACTCTTATAAAATACTTGTAATACAACAATACCGTCCATTCACAAAGAAGAACTTTTCAGGAGAGGCCGTGAACTATTGCTCACTGACTAACACCCTTCAAGATGGTCCAGCATAAACCAGTGGCTTGATATGCGAAGACCACTGTACTCGCGTAAAGCATTGCAAAGGGTTGAAGGCTCGGGTAGCGATTAGATTCTTAGAAAAACTCTCTTGAGTGAAGTGGCAGAACTTCCAATCTTAGAGGTGGTGGCGCTGTCACGATGCAACGTGAGTGACAGAGAAGCCAATGCGTTTGCTCGACCGCTGCTACCGCTGCCATTCTTATCAAACGCAGCATCTGCGCCCTCTCACATACGATGTGCTCTCTCGCATTTTCCCTCTCCTCGCAGCGCTGTCTCTCTGTCGTACAACATTCGACCTTGCAAGGGAATTTCAGCGTTTTCTATGATGCTTTTTGCTTCTTTTTCCACAAACATCCGTCGCTTTTTTGTCTGATCTCCGAACAAAACAACATCAGTTCTATCGCGACCCTTGAGAGCTGTTGTCACCGTTTGATAGTTTGAGTCATTTTTGTCAAGAGCTTTCTGGTCGCAGCCGCGGCGATAATGCCGTAGCTGCGACCAGAAAGTGCTTGACAAAGATGACTATCAAATTGCAGCCGGCGCGCAGTCGCGGCGGTGTCTGCGTCTCGCTCGTCCTCCATGCTCTCTTCTGCCTGGTTCCTATGTCCAGTGACTCACAGAGTCTGGCAGACTCATCTGTCACCCCAAAAACAGATTTTTTCAGTGGCTCAGTAGTCTTAATTTTTTTCTTTTTCTATCCGTCACAACATTTTTTTATCTGGAGTGGATTTGAACTAGTACCATGAAAATCAGATGAGACAGATACCTTCTTTTGCCTGAGCTTCTTCAACAACTGTACTGGGACTTTTGAGGGCCGGATCCCATCTGAAGAAAAGACTCACTCGATAATAGGTCTTTGATCATATGATATTATGTAGATAAACGTGTAAATAACTAGTCGACATGATACGGACAAATATTAAGTGAAGGACAATGAAATTTCTCGAATAAAGATCTTAATTGAATAAAAAACAGAAATTACCCGGAGCTGAGCTCAGGCGACCTGGCTGTCGGGCACATTTGATCTGATTTAACCTTCAAACAAATCAAAAATTATGGATTAGCAGGAAACTTTATTTATTTTTTCGAAACTTCAAGTTCGTTGAAATGGCGAGCTCCAAAAGTAGTAGATTTGTATTATCAGTCCGGTTCAAATTTCTAAACTTCCTCCCCCCAACCCTCTTTCTTTCTTACATCTTATACGACACACAAACTTCTGATTCTCTAGTATCTGGATTTTACACGTATCTCGTCTTCATATTTGCCCGATGGTGTGGATGGGCTGCGGGTCATGTTTGGAAGATCGTGAACACTTCTATTTTTATTTGCCAAAATGATCCCCACTTTTTGCCTACATGCTTCTCGTTAACATCCTCGTTACAATCATTCCCGCCCTTTAATATGCACTCTTCTCTCATTGGATCCCACCTGACAGTTATCAGTGAGAATAAAGTGCTGATCAGATAATTATAATAAAAGACTATCTGTAAATTTTACAGTCAGGAGATGTGTGCGTATAGCTTAGGTTTGCTCAATTCAATGCTTGTAAAATTGAACAACTTACAGGTGCCAAGTCATCAGGTTCATCCTATAAAGTGCATATTTGGGAAGTAGACTGGAATTCTTTCAGATGAATACAAAAAAATGGTGATGAAGTGGGGGATAACATTTAAAGGTGTCGCTACCTTTACCAGCGCTTTGAATCATACTACACCTTATCAAGATCACCATATCACTAATCTTGGATTATTGATAGATGGTATTGTCTATGAAATTATAATAGAACATGTGTAAACTGGTTACTCAGCTATAAGTGTCGTAATTAGACTTATACAGCAACATATGTGGAATCAGACGGTAACAAAAACATCAAAAGGACACATGTTGATTTCTCAAAGCTGTCGCCACAATGGTTTGATCTGCAGTTGCGACGTGTGGTGCCACAGAAAACAGAGCGTGATGGCACTTTTTCTGAGGTTCCGACTTTTTGAAATTCCGAACATCAAAGTTGGTAGATTGATATTTCTCATGATGAATGTTCGGCCAACATAGCTCATTACCAACTGCATACTTCTTTGTTCCTACTGTTTTATTTGTTTGTTTTACTTATATATTGGTTGCAACTGATATTGCTCGTGAGCACATACTGTGCAAAGATGAAATCGAAAAGGAAACATATCCTGAATAAAAAAGTACCTGAAGGATCCTCTCGAGCACGCGTCTTTCTACGATCTCTCTCTCAATGGTGGAGCCCCGACTTCCTGACCTTCGTTTCTGTAAGACGGTATAGCACTTTCACAAACAAGGCAAAGTTGTTACATCACCAACTGCATGAGCAAAAGCTATGTATTTTTGTATATTTAATAGGTTGGCCGATAAGAAATGTCGTTTTTGGTCACCAATAAATTCCACTGTAAAAACAACAACAAAGCGCATGAGCCTAATTGTGCCATCCACTTTGAACAGTTGATTCTCTCCGTCTTCTGTGCGAGGAACGAATCACTTCTTTGGAGAGCGGTCTCAGGTCGAACTCGAAGAAGTTGGACACCAAAATTTTAGCGTCGTTCTATTTTAGTCGAAGTTCTTGAACTTATTCTTGGCCAAGGTGTGCAGTGCGGGCCGGAGTGATTGGTAATCTGAAGGCACCAAGCCTGCTCTAATTGGCACACGGAGCAGCTTCCACTTCCTATTCTTCGATTTCTTTTTGGGGTATTTCCGCAACATGAGGGTTTTGCGCTTTGTGCATCAATTTCATATGACAGAATGACTCGTTGATGGCGCAGCTTTTGGTCTAAGCAGGCGACCTGCTGGTACAGTTCAACAGTAACTGCCTAACCCACAATCAGCACCTAAAGCTACAACTGCACTGTTGAGCAATACAAAAATACGATCTTCTGTTTCGTGGATGTCCGGTTTCGGAGTCGGTCTCAGCT